AGTATGACTTCTGGTAATTTTCAATCTCTTGAAATTCTTATTCCAATGTCATAACTTTTTTTAATACTATGTCTTTTAATTGCTTGCTTAGAGATATCCCAAGATATTTCATTTTTAAGGATATTGGAAATGGTACTATTCTCCTGATTTTTTCTTAGTATGATTATCATTTGTATACAGTATGGCTACTGACATTGTGTTAATTTTGCGTCCTGCCACTTTCCTCAAAGTATTTGCCATTTGTAGCAGGTTTTAGGATCTTTTATGTACAAATTGTGTCATCTGCAAATGAAGACATTTTGAATTACTTTCGGATTTGTATCTCTTTGATTTCCTTCAGTTGTCTTATTGTTCTGTCTATGAGTTCAAGAACTCTAGTGCATTAGTATGGAAAGAATGGACATAACTTTCTTGTTCCTGATACTAGTTAACATGCTTTGAGTTTCTCTCCATTAAGGATGGTATTGGATATGGGCTTGATGTAAATTTTCTTTATTATGTTGTATATTTGTTATATTTATCCATAGTCTCTATAGGGCTTTTATCATGAACAGATGGTGTGTTTTAATAATGGCTTTTTCTGTATCTAATGATGTGATCATGCATCTTTTGTCTTTCAGTCTGTTTATATGCTGGATCACATTTACTGATTTATTTATATTGAACCATCCCTGCATCTCTGGTATGAAGCCAATTTGACCATGGTAGATAATCTTTTCAATGTGGTTTTTAATTTGGCATGCAAATATTCAATTTAGAAATTTACCTCTATGTTCATATGGGATAATTTTTCCTTTTTGAAGGAATTCTAGTTTGGATTTGATATCAGGGTAATAGAGGCATAATATGGGCTAGGGAATATTTGTTCACTTTATATCTTGTAAAATAATTTAAGAGGTATTGGCATTAGTTGATTGAAGGTCTAGTAGAATTCTTTGCTTGGCCAATCTGTCCTTGGGATTATCATTGTTGTTGATATGAGATTTAATTGTATATTCTACATCACTAGGTATTATTAGTTTATTTACACTGCTTATTTGATATAGGTTTTGTTTTAATTGGTAGGTCATACATAACAATAAATTCATCAATTTCTTGTAGATTTTCCACTTTTGTAGAACATAGATTTTTAAAGTAGTTCCTCATAATTCTCTCAATTTCCAGTTACTGTTTGAATGCCCTTTATCTCTAATTCTGTTAATTTGGATATTTCTCTCTCTCTCTCTCTCTCTCTCTCTCTCTCTCTCTCTCTCTCTCTCTCTCTCTCTGTGTGTGTGTGTGTGTGTGTGTGTGTTTGTATGTGTGTGTGTGTATATCTTTATACCTAATTTCACTAAGAGTTTGTCAATCTTGTTCAATTTTTCAAATAACCAACAAAGGAGGAGATGAACTTGTAAGATTGTAAAGGGCAGTAGGAAATTGCTAGAGGAACCCTCTGTTTATACCAATATGTTTAGATCCTAGGGAATGGAGATAGGGCTGTTTTTTTTTTTCACTTCTTTCCGGGGCCCCAACACCCAGATTCCAAATAAATCACCCATAGAAGCTTATTCCTAATTATGAATGCCCAGCTGTAGGCCTTAGCTTGGCTTGTTTCTTGTCAGCTTTTCTTAACTTTAAATTAACCCATCTGTCTTTTGCCTCTGAGCTTTTACCTTTCTCTATTTTTGTATACCTTTCTTTCTGATTCTATTGCTGTTTATCTGGCTGGATGCCTGGCCCCAATGTCCTCCTCCTTCTCTTGCCCTAGATCTCTCCTCTTCCAGATTTCTCCATCTATTTATTCTCTCTGCCTGCCAGCCCCACCTGTCCTTTCTTCTTCCTCACAATTTGCTGTTCAATTCTTTATTAGAGCATCAGGTGTTTTACACAGGCACAATAAAGCTACTTCACAGAGATAAACAAACGCGTAGCATATTGATCATCTGTGAGTATCACTCTTGAGTTGGTGTGCATGACTTGTTATGTTATACTCTGACATTTTATGCTTGCTTGAGCTCACAATAATGTGATCACCATTAGATCTTTACAAAGATATTTATAGATGTTCACTTGCATCTGAATTACTTTTTATACTGTGACAATATGCAGTTGATAATTTCCTTGAATTTCAAAGACACATAGTTCAATATATAAGAACATAATAGAGAAAAATGATTATTATTCCTGATAGAACTCCCCGCTTTCCTGTATTTTAGGCAAAGGTATATAGAAAGTGAATAATTCCCCCTCTGTTAAATAATAACCATAGTAATTTCTTCTTTCTAATGTTTGATGAGTTATGGTTATGAACACATCCCCCTTTGTTAACATTTCACATAGTGACAAGAACAAGTAACCAAAGCCAGTAATGGATATAGGTAATAGCAATGGAATGTGCTCTGGGGTTTTCATAACTGTGTCAGCAGTACAGACAGAAAAGCAGTAGCCATCTTCAGGAAGTCTGGCAATGATATAAGCCCAGATTTAAACAAGATAGAGACTATGTTAGCCAGTCTAAACATGTATATTGAATATTGAAAGCATATTTCAGAGTTTTTCGCATATTTGTATGATACTGTATAATAATAACTATCATTCATGAATAAAGAAAATTTTGTCACTTTCCTTGAACAGATAATATAAGAGTCAAATATTTTGCTTCATATAGCTCTATCTTTACTATACATAGCCTGGCAATTCAGAATATGTTCATGAACTATTAATTTACCCAATAGAGATTAGTTAATAGTTACCAATAATATTCACCATAAGATTGAAGCAATGAAAAAAATTAAAGAAGGAAGATTTAAAAACACAAATTCACATAGAAGAAAAAACTTCAGTAATGAAGGAAATAATGTCAAGACATAGAGGAAGCAAATAGATGTGTAGTCAGACTTTTCTTTGTGGGGATTTCAGCCCATAAATAATGACATGGAGACTTATTATTAATCACGAAAGTTTGGCCTTTAACTTAGGCTTGTTTCCAACTAGCTCTTATAACTTAATTAACTCATATTTTTTATCTATGTTCTGCCATATTGCTCCTTACCTTTCCTCAGCATGGTACATCCTACTTGCTGCTGGTGAAATCTGCACACCTAGGTTTCTCCTCCCAGTTCCTCTCTCTGCCTGGAAATCCTGCCTATCCTCTCCCGTCAAGTTATTGGCTATTCAGCTTTTTATTGAACCAAACAGAAGGTGTCTTAAGCAGAGACACATCTTTACAGTGTACAAAATATTATCCCACAATACAGATGTTGTTTCCTCACAACAAGACACAGTATCTTTGTACCTTCAAGAAATGACATTTAAAGGGGTATGGGTAAGAGAAGGCACTTTTGCATTTGTCTAATGTTCTAAGCAAGGACTGTGAATGAGATACAACTAGAATTATGAGACGTATTACTTAGAGGAAATCAGTAACTGAATGCTAAATCAACTGGCGATTAAGAATACTTTCAAATTCTAACAGAGTACGTAAACATATGCACTCTACAGCTAGTCTAGACTATTTGGCTTAAGTATAATGATAACCTGTCTCCTGCCATAATCATACCTAATCTCTAAACAATAACCTCTTGGGGTGTGTGTGTGTGTGTGTGTGTGTGTGTGTGTGTGTGTGAGAGAGAGAGAGAGAGAGAGAGAGAGAGAGAGAGAGAGAGAGAGAGAGAGAGAGAGAGAGAGAGAGAGAGAGAGTTCTATCTTGGGTAGGAGTTTGACATGCTTACTATTAATCACAGGTAGATTTTTCTGATAATATGGTGATGAAATAGAAAATCAGGAACCAAGGAGATTTCAAAGTTTCTATAGGAATCACATACTAATGGAATTTCTACCTACAAAGAGGGTCAATTAAAAAGAAAATTCATCTTAGAATATAAAACAAAGTAATTTCAGAGATGCAAAATTTAGGATGAAAGTAAATGTTTCCAGTAAGCATATATGATGTGGTGTATGCAAAGTGAAAAAATTCTTGTTTTATAGCAATATAATTTTTAAAATGATAACAGCATATTCAACAAAAAGGGGGTTATATAGTTAGGGAAAAGTCAAGGGCTTAAGACTGAGTTCTATGAATAATAAATCAGAAATGATGAATGGAAAGTACAATCAAGAATTCTTAGGTCTTTGGTTCTACCTTAAGAAATAGTTTCTAAAAAGTGATTAATTATCCAATGTGATTGACTTTAGTAAGTCAAGGTAGATTACAGCACATACTTATCCTGCAGTTATAACAGCCAAATTTTATTCAGGGATTTAACTATAAATTTTATATGATTTTACAGAACCAAATTCAACAGAGAATGGTAGAAAAAGTTGTGTTCAACAAATATAAACAACTCTTGGGGGAATTTTATAATATACAGTTATTCAGCAGGACTGACAATAGCAGAGAAATGGATGGCTAAGAAAACATAAATTGCATCTTGCTTTGAGGTTTTGTGACCTGATTTTATTTTCATATGTTGGAATATACAAATAAGATAACAGCAATAAAATTTAAGAAGGAAAACTCCACCCCACAATTGTAGGATTTTTTCTCTTTGGTCCTAATTGGTTATACATTATTTATATCAGGTGGAAAAAGAGAATTTAATTTGAAATGCAAGCATATAATCAAGAGTCATGCCATTCTATGTTATTTCTAATTATTTAAGGCTTTTCAGTTAAAAGCAACATTTAAATTTAAAAATATATCAGTATACTTCTTGGGATTATAGTTGCAATATGTAGACAATGAAAAAAGGAATAGCATTTCTGGAAGAAGATCAATCATTTTTGTGTTTCAGGTAAATAAATGAAACAAGGAAGCATGATGTGTTAACTTTTACTTTGATTAGTTTGAGTTCTTTGAACATCTGTTCAAAAGGTGTTGAGTTGTGTATAACTAATATTGGGCTTTTCTTTTTTTTTTTTTTTTTTTTTTTTTTTTTGGGCTTTTCTTAAGTCATGAAAATGTAGAGAAAAAAATGAAGAAGAAAATTGCAGGTTCGTGTAAACATGCAATTGTCGGGACAGGTCCTGGAAACCAGAGCAGGTGACCAAGGATAGATATCATGGACACATCTACAGTGATAGGACTATGAGTTACAGGATAAAATTATATTTCTTAGCATTCAGAGATAATGATAGTAAAAAGAGATGGTGGTTAGAAAATGTGAATATTCAAGTAGCATTAAGGAGAAAAGTGGTGACTGGAAACAATTACCAGACCTCTTGCATGAAGAGAAAGGGGTGAAACACAAGATCACAGGAAGGGCAACAGTTGCTTAAATGCAATGGTTAGAGGAATTATTAAATAATCCTTTATGCTAACACTAAAATCACCAAGAACTATAGCGGGAATTGTATGGGAGACAGAACACCACAAGTGGTCCATCTGGGAAATAAAGGCAGGGCCAGCCCACTCAGCTCTTCTCATCATTTCACCATGAGGATGAACGGAGACTTTTATCGCTTGGCATCAAAACCAGTCAAGATGTGAAAGGTTATCAATGGTGGACATAGTTTAAGTGGATGAGACAAAATTTTCAGTCAAGGAAACATTAGTGGGGAATAAAAGTGGAAATTCCTGTAAATCGTTACTTTATTAACAATAACACCTTAATTATTTTTTGTCTATGTTGCATTTGGCAATTTCAAAATCATTTCACTCTGCTTACCTCTGACCCTTACAGCAACTCTGCAGAGAGTTGGAGACAGTATTATTATCATGGGACAAGAATGAGACGTTAAGATTTTAAAAGTCTAGATCGGAGACTTAGAACTATTAAGCAAATGACAAGTCCCAGAAATACGATACAGATTGCTCACTAGAGGTATTGCTCTTTGCTCTAAATAATTATGACTGCCATTTAATCTCATTCCTTGGCTGTATTTCATAAAAGTCTCACGATGGATTACCAAGTCTGTTTCAAAGCAATTAGGATGCTTGAAATGTGACATTTAAAAAATTATAGGAGATGCATGCTTACTAATGATGGTTGTGTTGAAAAGCAGAAATTAATTTGGAAAGTTTATGGAAGTAAATCTAAAACCTAGATTAAAAGGGGATAATTCTAAAGCAAAATAATCGATACAGGAAATTTTAATATTTTCTTCACAGAATTTTTTGTCATACTTTTTAGAAAATATGCCATTTTCATTAAAGTATAAGACATACAGCAATGTACTGCATAATACTTTCAAATTTGTAATAATATCCTTTAATTTCTTCCTCTGTTTTGCCTCAGGATAATACTTTTAATTGCATTGTCTTGCAGCATGCTTAAATATTGTTCTTAGTGTACATCAAAATAACTTAAACTTTTTGTTGTACAGCCAAGTTATTGAATGAATCTAAACTTCAGATTCTTCATCTGTGAAAAGGGGGTAAGAGTGTATCTCCCCAGCATTGTGAAGGAAAATAAAAAAGTGACATGTGGAATGTTCTATGTACTTTGCCTCGACTTTAGTGTGTATTGATAAACAGCAGTTGCTATAGCGAATAGTTACACATTTAAAATTTTTGAAATATATTCAGCCTTGAAAGTACCAAAACAATTGAATTTATATATTTCAAAATTTAATAATTAAATAGTATGCCCAAACATAAAATGGGCCCCATTAGTTTATAATTATTTCCAGTCTTTTGGATATAAACTTTGAATGTGAGAATTAGTGTTATATTTATTGTTTTTATGGTTTTCTGCTGATTGTTTTATTTCTCATACAGAATTCACAGGTCCCCTTCCTATGGCAAACATAGTTTTCTCCTTAAAATTAATTCCAACATCATTTTCTATCCCTTATGTAGAATTTAATAAAAACAGAGATAATTTCCAAAATCAAATAAAATCCAAAAGCCTCTTGTTGCTTCCAAGGATGTGTTGTTTGCACACCTCCTACAGGCTCCCATAATACACATTAAGGAAAAATGTATTCTTTAAAATATTCACATATTTCATGTACATGTTACATAAGTAGTACTTAGATATGCATCAGATGAATTCACAGCTAATGTAATCAAATACTAACCAACAAGAATAATCATGATAGATGTTGGCAATGTTAGTGCTTAGTAAGGGCCTGGTTTATATCAAGAATGGTTAGACTGTGTCCTTTCCCTGTGGAAGTCTAGGAAACCCAAACGCTAGGTATTTTCCAGTTATTATCTCATGAGATTATTAATTCAACCCAGAACTCAGGAACAAGTAGGTTCTAACATTCCACCTCTCCATAGTTAACACCTTAGGTCTTAGTTCTTAATATATCTCTCCATGAGTTATAACATGTACTCTCAACACATTGTGGTTAACTTGATCTCTTGTCTTCTCGTTTTGTCTCTCATTCACAGCCTCTGATATAATCAGCCCAAGAAGAACACCAAACCAAAAGGAGCCACTTAGTAGAAAGATTGGACACCAACTCTACAAGAGACAAAGAAAAACATTAACACAGGTCGGGGGAGGCCAGTACCAGAACTGATTCAGGGTTGTGAATAGAGGACCTTAGAGTAGCGGGACTTCAGCAAACTTTTTATCTGAAGGTATTTAGAAATAAGTTTTTTGTCTGTCTGACAGGTAAATAAAGGAAACACACATGCTTTCTCATGGTAACTTTCTCCTTTATTTCATCTTAAAAAATCCTCTCTTAAAATCTCTCTTACTCCACATTGTTTCATTCTCTATACATTCTCCACACAACCACATACCTCTTTTTGCACAATGATATCTCCTTTCTATACAGCTTCATCTTTCTTGTCTTCACAGTTACAAATGTCCACATAGCCACAGCTATACATCTTATTTACATAGTTCTTTCACCATACAGCCATATCTCTTCCTGCACAGCTGTATATTTCTCTATACATTTATATCTCTTTTTTACATAGCTCCGAATCTTTTATACACATTTCTTCTCTCCACCCTGTTACATTCCTTCACACATTACTAGATGATTCACTCAGTCTTTACTCCCTCACTACCTCACTCATTCACTCTCCTCTATGCACACAACTCTCCCCTTCATCTTTTTCTGCGTAACTGCACAAGCCCTCTCTTCTACAAAGTTATTCATCTACTCATGTGCACTTCTCTGCACATAGCTCCTGCTCTCTCAGCACGCACGCACACAAGAAAAAAAATACTTTCACCTCTGCCCACTTCTTTATATAGACATACATCTCAGAATCTTTCTGAAAATCTCTCTTGCTCTCTCTCCTCTCTAGCTATTCATCCTCTCTCCTCAGTTCCCTCTGCACACCCACACACATACTCACTCTCTCACCCCTCATTCTCCTCTCTTAGCCAAACTCTAGACAATTACATGTTACGTTTCCAGGGTCTGACCCATTCTCATAACACATGATAAATCACGCAGTTTTTCTTAGGCTAGGAAGGTCCTGCTGACCAGCCAGTGAGAAATGCTTGGTTGTGCTTGTAACTCTAAGTTGGTGAGGATTCACAAACAGAAAGTAAACAGTCGGCTGAACTTTGAGCCTGTAACGTAAAGTGAGACTGGGACTACATTCAACAAGTCGATTACTATAGAGGCTTATGTCTCCCAAAGTTGCCTCATGTCTGACCTTGATTCAGCAACAAACAACACCTGGGAACTCATCCTTGTGTATTTGTCTCCAGGGGCAACCAGTTTGCTCTGAATACGTTCTGAAGTCTAAAATTAGCTGTCTTTGTGACTGAAAATACTATTACATTCCTGCATCATCTATGAAAAAAATATTCTAATATTATCAGAATTATATAGCTTAAGCAGAAATCAGCTTCCTGACCACCCATAGCAGTATGTGTGCTCAAAGATGGAATATTTTTACGGGATAGCACACAAGCAGTGATGAAAATACATATAACTGTTATTAGGGAAGAAGTGAAGTGGCACATGAGAGAAATTACAGATAGAAATAACGAGTGACTTACAGTCAGTAACCTCACAGCTCTGCCAAGTGAGGCTCCCCATCAGATGGATCTGGTGGGTCTACCTGTTAAATACTAGTTGTCACCTGCTGTATACCCCCTTGGCCTCCTGCAAGGCATGTTGGCATAAGTTATAAAATATCCACATGAGAAATCCAAAGGAAAAAGCATTTATTCTTAATCATGCCTTTCAGTTCACTGCTTGAATGATAGTCACTGATAAAGTTGCTTTTCTTCTTTTAAAAGAAAAAAATTAAATTTATTTATTCATACAAAACAATTCCCTAATATCAACAAATGTCTTTGGTCCTTCATTGCACCCTACCATGGCAAGACTAGTCTTTATGCCTACACCATTACCATGCTTTAGTGCACTCTTTAGGTTATCAATACATACTATGTTTTTGAGATGTTTAGAAGATGTAAAAGAGCCCCAGATACAGACATTTGGGGCATCATCCCCCTGAAATAGAGTTATATGTGGGCCACACAGAAATTTATTCAGCAAGGCCCATCGTGGTCTACTGCAAACTTAGGCCTCTGACCCAACAAATTTCCCTTGCTCTAACACTTGAGACAACAGAATATTTTTGTCTAACCATTGAGTCCATTGTGGTCTTCCAACATCATCCCAGTTAATTATCAAAGGAGTCACCAAGTTCCTATGAACCTCAATGCACAGAGCATGCTACTATCACCTGATTCAATTCCGTGACAATGAGCCTCTTTTTGCTTACCATGTATAGTTGGTGTCACGTGGCAGTTCCTAATTTCAACTCTGATCCACTTCTTAACAGATCAGCAGATACTTAGGCTCCAGTTAATCACAGCTTTTAACCATTCAAATAATTTTTAAATGGTATGATGAGGAATGCTTCTTTGGAAGGCTCAATGCCAAGTATTTGAATTGATGCATTTTTAGATATAATCTAATCAATCATGTAGGAAGACTTGTTTCAGATCTCTGCATTTTCAAGTGCAATTTTGGTGTGATTCATCTGAATGATTGTTTAATTCTTGTTGTGAATACTATTATATACCAAATTCTGCAAGATGTCAAAGTTGTGCTATTGCTTTCTTTCAATGAATGGGAGTTCAATACTGTATTTCTACTCTCAATCTGGTTGTTTTTAGTGTATCTGAAGAAGCCATTGTGAAATAAGTGTGTGATGCTACATCTTTAATATTAAAAATTCCTTAATGATTCTTTCTTAAAAATTTCATTTCTTATATTTTAATAATAAACTTTATTTGCTATCCAGTTTTCAAATACTATAGACTTACCTATTTTTTTCTAGAATATCTATTTTTGGTGTCAGGTTTGGATTAAATTTTTTTATGGTTTTTGTCTTTTGGTATTATAATATAACTGCATCATTCTCCTAATTTACTCCCTCCAGAACTTCCCTTGATCTCTTTCAAAGCCATGACTTCTTTTCTCCATTAGGGGTTGTTACTTGCATACATTTATTTGCATGTAAATTTGTATTCCTTGTAATCTGCTAGTTTGTGTAATATTAATTGTATGGATGGTTTCAGGATCTACTTTAATTTTTAAAACTTTTCAAGTAACTTGACATTCTATCATCTTTCTCTTCCTCTGACAGAGCAGTTGTGATTTTCTTCTTAATTATTAATTGTCCATTTCACTTCAAATCTTTTTTCTCTGTGATTTTAGATATCATGCTTGGTCTTCCATTTGTATCTCTCAGTTTGAGACTATACAACACTTAAAATGTTAAGGAAACTGTGATTTATGTATATATTTTTCTATACATGTATTTTTGAACTTTCTACAGTAAGTCTTATATCATTCTCTAAGGTATACAACAATGTTTCAAAATATTTTATACTTTATTTTTGGTTTAATTTCTCTCATTGTGTTGTTTCTTGGGCAAATTTCTCAGCTCCAACTTGCTTTATCGATTATTTTCCTGTCTATGATATTTAATTATTTCTCCTCTTTTGTTTTTATAAATAATAATTTCTCATTTCAAGATTTTTAAAAATATTCATTTTATAACCTCCTTTTATAATTCTATTTTATCAATGTTGTTTTATTTCTTATCCCTAACTAGATCTAAAATATCTATTATCAGTTCATTTTCCATTTTCATGAGGTATTATTATCATTTTTTTTTTTGTCTTTCAAGATAAGGTTTCCCTGTATAGCTTTGAATGTCTTTGAACTTGCTCTGTACACCAGGCTGGGCTGGAATTCAGATCCCCCTATATCTGTCTCCCAAGTGATGGGATTAAAGGCATGTACCGCCAACACCCTGTGCATTTTCATGTTAAGAATCCAGACTTTCAGAATTAATATGTTGAAATTTGTGTCTTAAATATATCACAAAAAGAATGAAAGCTTAAATTTATACCCCAAAATTCACTTTCATATTTCCACCAAGATAGGGCAATGCTGGAAAATACCTCCTCTAGGAACCAAGTAGAGACCCCCCTTAAAGACTTGCTGAGGCTCTGTCAGGCTGAGGAGTTGGTGAGGGCCAAGGAGATGGTGCTTCCCACCATGGTACATGATCTCTTATAAGGGAAGGGAGCAGGGTCACATGCCCTTTCTCCCTGCTCCTGCCTGTTAGGTGGATCCCCTCCTGGTCAGAATAGAGGACAACTTCAGCTGTTTATTCCGTTCTGTATTCGTGAGTGTATTTCCTCAATTCATATCTTAATAAATTCTGTTATGCATTTAATAGACTCATGTGGATTGATCATAATAAGTGGCACTCATAATAAGTGGCACCCACATGACAAAATATTCCACATTCCTGTAGCTCCTGCCCTCAGTCTGTGCGGCAGTGGCAGCAGGTTTACTCAGAGGCTCATGTGCTCACTGCAAGTCTTCTTCACTATCATCCCTGAACCACTCATTCCCAACCATGTGGAGCTGATCCCCATATTAGGTGCCAGATGCTGTTTGAATCTTAGATGGTCTTTTAATAATAATAATAATAATAATAATAATAATAATAATAAACAACCCAGAGCCAAATATCAGGGTAGAAGCTGAAAGATCAGAGAAGCAGAGCAGCCAGCCATTAATTCTTACCTCTACAAAATCCTCAACCTAAAGAGTGAGTTCCTGTTTCCTCATGCCTGATAGACCTTTCTCTACCCAGACATCTCTTTCTGGAATTAAAGGCGTGGGTACTTCCCAGTACTGGAATTAAAGGTGTGTGACTGTGTTTCCCAGTGTGGTCTTGAATTCACAGAGATCCAGCTGAATCTCTGCCTCCAGAGTGATAGGATTTAGGCTGTATGCTACCGCAGCCTGACCTCTATGTCTAATCTGGTGACTGGCTCTGTCCTCTGATCCTCAGGCAAGTTTACTAGGGTTCACCATATATGCACCTGACAATACTTTGTTCTATGATTGTCACCTATTGAGTGATATATGAGGCAGACTTTACAACAAATAAAATGTTGTTTACAGAGATTATAGAGTAAAGTGGAGATGTTTCATTTTACCTGCCAATATTACAACTGAAATAGTTTAGAATAATGCACACATTTTTTTTTTAAATTAGGCCAGGTATTTGTCTTATGTCACTGAAGAAAGTACAGGTAGGTAAGCCTTATTAGGTCATCTAATTTATCCTTTTTTTCATATACAGCTTCTCTATGGTATATTTTAAAAATATATATTTTATGCTGAACCAA